TCCACGTCCATCACGTCCACGTCCACGTCCATGTCTACGTCCACGTCTACGACCATGTCCACGTCCACGTCCACGTCCACGTCCACGTCCACGACCATGTCCACGTCCACCGTCCACGTCCATGTCCACGTCCACGTCCACGTCCACGACCATTTCCACGTCCATCCACTTCCACTTCCATGTCCAAGTCCACGTCCATGTCATGTCCACGACCATGTCCACGTCCACGACCATGTCCACGTCCATGTCCACGTCCACGTCCACGTCCATGTCCACGTCCACGTCCATGTCCACGTCCATGTCCACGTACACGTCCATGTCCACGTCCACGACCATGTCCACGTCTACGTCCACGTCCACGTCCACGACCATGTCCACGTCCACGTCCACGAACATGTCCACGTCCACGTCCATGTCCACGTCCATGTCCACGTCCACGTCCATGTCCTCGTCCATGTCCACGTCCACGTCCACGTCCACGTCCACGTCCATGTCCACGTCCACGTCCACGTCCATGTCCACGTCCACGTCCACGGCCATGTCCACGTCCATGTCCACGTCCATGTCCACGTCCATGTCCACGTCCATGTCCACGTCCATGTCCACGTCCATGTCCACGTCCACGTCCATGTCCACGTCCACGTCCATGTCCACGTCCACGTCCATGTCCACGTCCACGTCCACGTCCAGTCCACGTCCACGTCCACGTCCACGTCCAGGTCCACGTCCACGTCTTCGTCCATGTCCACGTCCACGTCCATGTCCACGTCCATGTCCACGTCCATGTCCACGTCCATGTCCACGTCCATGTCCACGTCCACGTCCATGTCCACGTCCATGTCCACGTCCAGGCCCACGTCCACGTCCACGCCCACGTCCATGTCCACGTCCATGTCCACGTCCACGTCCACGTCCACCACGTCCACGTCCACGTCCATGTCCACGTCCACGTCCACGTCCACGTCCACGTCCATGTCCACGTCTACGTCCACGTCCACGTCCACGTCCAGGTCCACGTCCACGTCCACGTCCACGTCCACGTCCACGTCCAGGTCCAGGTCCACGTCCACGTCCACGTCTACGTCCACGTCCACTTCCACGTCCACGACCAGGTCCACGTCCACGTCCACGACCACGTCCACGTCCATGTCCACGTCCATGTCTTCGTCCACGTCCACGTCCATGTCCACGTCCACGACCATGTCCACGTCCACGACCATGTCCACGTCAACGACCATGTCCACGTCCCCGTCCACGTCCACGTCCACGGACCATGTCCACGTCCCCGTCCACGTCCACGTCTACGACCATGTCCACGTCCACGTCCACGTCCACGTCCACGTCCACGTCCACGTCCACGTCCACGTCCACGTTCACGTCCACGTCCACGTCCACGTCCATGTCCACGTCCACGTCCACGTCCACGTCCAAGTCCACCTCCACGTCCACGTCCATGTCCACGTCCACGTTCACGTCAACGTCCACGTCCACGTCCACGTTCACGTCCACGTCCACGTCCACGTCCACGTCCATGTCCACGTCCACGTCCACGGCCAGGGAGAACGCAAACGCTCCTTTTTCAAAAAAGTAAAGGGAATCTAGCGGTCTCACACTATCAGAAGGTGGGAAATATATAAATCTAGTGAGCTAATAAGGTTCGAAAGGAATCTAATGCATATGTATATGGAAAAATGGTGCATTGGCTAGGTCGGTCAGTATTGGAACTTAGAGTGCAAATGCATGGGAGAACGGAACCGCTCAGGTCTCGCATAGTACACGGAATCTAATGGTCTCACTCAAATATAAGGTAGGAAATATATTAATTGAGTGAACGTAAGTTTTTGAAAGGTAACTAACGCACATGATAGAGAGAATGGTGCATCGGCCAGTCTGGCCGGCATTTTGCACTTATAGTGCAACTAGGGCCAGGGAAAATAGAAACGCTCATTTCTCAAAAAGTAAAGGGAATCTAGCGGTCTCACTCGATCAGAAGGTGGGAAATATATAAATCTAGTGAGCTAATAAGGTTCGAAAGGAATCTAATGTATATGTGTATGGAAAATGGTGCATTGGCCAGGTCGGTCAGTATGGGAACTTAGAATGCAAATGCCAGGGAGAACGGAAGTGCTCAGATCTCGCATAGTACACGGAATCAAGTGGTCTCAATCAAATAGAAAGTAGGAAATATATTCATCTAGTGAACGTAAGGGTTTGAAAGGTAACTAACGCACATGTCTAGAGAAAATGGTGCATCGGCAGTGTGGCCGGCATTTCGCACTTATAGTGCAAGTGGGGCCAGGGAGAACGGAAAAGCTCGTTGCTCAAGAAGTAGAGGGAATCTAGCGGTCTCACTCGATGAGAAGGTGGGAAATATATAAATCTAGTCAGCTAATAAGGTCTGAAAGGTATCTAACGCACATGTATAGAGAAATTGGTGCATTGCCCAGATCGGTCAGTATCGGAACTTAAAATGCAAATGCCAGGGAGAACGGAAGCGCTCAGATCTCGCATAGTAACACGGAATTAAGTGGTCTCGCTCAAATATAAATTAGGAAATATATTCATCCACGTCCACATCCACGTCCACGTCCACGTCCACGACCAGGTCCGTCACGTCCACGTCCCGTCCACGTCCCGTCCACGTCCGCGTCCACGTCCGCGTCCACGTCCCCGTCCACGTCCAGGTCCACGTCCGCGTCCACGTCCCCGTCCACGTCCAGGTCCACGTCCGCGTCCACGTCCCCGTCCACGTCCACGTCCACGTCCATGTCCACGTCCACGTCCACGTCCAGTCCATGTCCACGTCCACGTCCACGTCCACGTCCAGTCCACGTCCAGTCCACGTCCAGTCCACGTCCACGTCCAAGTCCACGTCCACGTCCACGTCCATGTCCACGTCCACGTCCACGTACACGTCCACGTCCACGTCCACGTCCACGACCACGTCCACGTCCACGTCCACGTCGACGTCCACGTCCATGTCCACGTCCATGTCCACGTCCACGTCCACGTCCACGACCACGTCCACGTCCATGGTGAGGGTGTACGAGTTGGGGGCGGATGCGGCACTAGAGGAGGTGTTTGACCTGGCGGAAAGGGTGGAGCTGGCACACAGGAGGTATGAGGCCTACCTGTCGAGGCCGACAGAGAGGAGCCGCAGACCGACATGGGCGGCGGCTATGATACCAGAGGAGCGAGGGAGGGTGGACCCACACGGGGAAGAGAGAGCCGACGCGCGCACCTGCTACCGTTGTGGACAGATGGGCACCTCCGCAGAGAGTGCAAAAACTGTGATGGATGTGGGAAGCCTGGGCACCGGAAACGATAATGTCCGGATGCGGCGAAGTGTGAAATCTGCGGGAAGAAGGGGCACGAGGCCAAGGAGTGTTACCAGCGGGAGGGAGGGGCAAGGAGGAAACCAGAGGAGCTGCAGCGGCAGATCAGCAGGCTGCAGTCTCAACTGCAGGCCATGGGGTCAGGGTGGGGAGCGGAGGCGGGATGTACGCTAGGGACGAGGAGGGAGAAGGGGTGGAGCCGGACGTGCAGTGTGCCCTCATGGCCTGGAGAGGCAGGGAACAGATGGGGCTGCGTAGCGGGGGGAAGGATGGCAGGCAGGAGCATAGCCGGAAGCCACGTGAGCACGGGTCCAGGCCGGACGCGCCAGGAGGAGAGAAGACCCCAGCCCGCCACCCGCAGGAATGACTCGCGTGCCAGACCTCAGTGCTGCTCGTGGAAGCACGAGCGGTGGAAGTGGGGGGGATGAAGGTAAAGACGGCGATCATTGACACAGGAGCACAGAGCGTGATGCTGGGTAAGGGGATGGCCGAACGGTTGGGGCTGATGGCCCCTGAGAGGCACGTGGAGAAGGGGATGTTAGTCATGACAGCAGAGGGAGGGGAACCAAAGTGGATGCCGTGCACACGGACCCCCATAGAGTTGACACTGCTGCCAGGAGGGGAGCATGAAACAAGGATCAGGATGAAGTGTGGAATCTCGGAGTCCGAGGACTTTGATCTGCTGATGGGGACGGAATTGGTGTTCGCTGTAGGCATGAGCATATGTACCTGGATAGAGAAGGTGGAGTTCCGAACGAGATACTGGAAGGAGGGACCATTGGGGCAGCTGCCAGTGCAGTTTGTAAGGGTGGAGCCGAAGCGGGCCTATCAGGTCGGAGCAGGAGGGGCACAAAGGGGGCAGAGAGGAGCAGCAGAGACCAAGGAGGGGCCCAGGATGAAACTGATGGACAAGCCGGGGCAGCATAGCGATTGGCAGCAGCCCATCCGGCTAGTAAAGTTGTTCGGAGGAATCGGGGCAGGGCTGGCGGCAGCAGTGAGGAGTGGGATTGCAGTGCAGCAGTGGGTCTATGTGGAACTGGCACCACAGGTGAGAAGGATGGCTGAGCATCACGCGCACAAGCTGAGAGCTGAGTTCCCGGACCTCCTGGGTGAGAAAGTAATTCAGGAAGCCATGAGCAGTACGGTGCACGATGTGAGTCAGATCACAGAGGAGCAGGTGGCCAGCTGGGGGCAGGTGGACCTGCTGGTGGCGGGATGGGAGTGTCAAGGGGTGTCATGGGCAGGAAAAGGGAAGGGAGGGGAGGACCCGAGGACGAAGCTGATGGACAACCTGTTCAATATCCTGGAGTGGCTGCAGGAGAGGCAGGGCAGAGTGGCTTACTTGCTAGAGAATCAGGATCTAGAAGGGGATTGTAGAGAGCCGATTTGGCTGGTGAGGGAGAGGATTGGCCGGCACGTGGGAAAAGGGATGAGCTGTGATGCAGCCAGGGCAGGGTCGTACGCTCACCGCCTCAGGATGTACTGGCAAAACGTGGTTCTCGTGCTGGATTTGCAGGAGGAAGCAGAGGGGATGAGGAGGGCTACAGGGAGGAGGGTGGTGGACATCCTGGAGCCGGGACGGACTCCCGCGCCAGTTTGTCAAAGAAGTTACAGCAGGCACTACCCGTGCAACCAGGTGGGGCAGGACAGGAGGGCTCTGCCCACCTTGGTCGCTTTTGCAGAGGCAGCAGGCTACAGGTGGGAAAAGGGGGAGCCCGGACCCGGGCTGATAGACCACAAGCGGGGACGGTGGGAGGAACCGACGGCATTAGAGAGGGAGCTGGCTATGGGATATGGAGAAAACGTGACGGCAGCACCAGGGGGTGAGCGAGGAAGACAGGAGGAGGGCAATGGGGAATGCCATGGATGGCTACATGATGAGGTGGCTGGTGCAGAGGATGTGGCGAGAGATGGTCTTGGGTGGGGGGCAAGAGGCAGATAAGGTGGCGGCAGCAGCAGCCCCACAAGGAGCATGGACCTGCCAGGAGGAGGAGGGAGAGAAGTGGACAGTGGGGGAAGCGATGAGTGAAGAGGGAAGGGAAGCTATGCTGGGACTGCTGGCCAAGCATAGGAAGTGGCTTTGCCTTCACACTGCAAGAACTGGGAAGGTGCAAAATGAAGGAGATGGAGCTGAAACTGAGCAGCACAGAGCCGGTGTTCCAACGGCGTAGGAAGATGCCGCACGGAGATGAAGAGATATGCAAGGAGAAGATTAAGGAGCTGCTAGCGGCCGGACTGATCCGGCGCTCAGAATCAGAATACGCCACACCAACAGTGGTGGCAGCGAGGAAGGACTTAACAGGGGAGATCCTGAGCAGGAGGATGTGCGGAGATTACCGAGCGCTCAACAAGAATACCGTGGCGGACAGGTACCCAATGCCGATGGCGGAGGAGATATTTGACAAGTTAGCAGAGGGGGTGTTCTTTACGACGCTGGACCTGTGGCAGGGGTTCAATCAGATAAAAATCAGGGAGGAGGACGTTAGGAAGACGGCATTTCACGGGCCGGATGGGCTGTACGAGTGGGCTTACATGCCATTCGGGCTGAGGAACGCATCAGCAGTGTTTCAGAGAGTCATGAATGCAGTGCTGAGGGACGTAGAATATGCAGCGTGCTACATAGATGACGTGGTGATCTTCAGCACCTCCGAACAGCAGCACCTGCAGGATGTGGAGAAGACACTGGCAGCAATAGAAGCAGCGGGACTCACGTGTCACCCGAAGAAGTGTAGGTGGGGTGAGCAGACCGTTCAGTATCTGGGCTACGAGGTGACAGGGGGGCAGATCGGGATCCAGCAAGCAAAGGTGGAGGTGCTGGATAGGCTGCGAGAACCAAAGGACAAGACAGGGCTGAGAGCGGTGTTGGGGTTTCTGAGTTACTACCGGCGATTTGTGCCCAACTTCAGCAGGCGGGCAGCGGTGTTGAACGGACTGTTAAGGGAGGACAAGACATGGGAGTGGGGGGAAGCGCAGAAGGGGGCATTGCAGGACCTGATGGCGGCGGTGAAAACAGCAACTGTCTTGCAGCTGCCAGCAGCGGACCAACCCTTCACCCTCTACACCGACTGGAGCAGCCAAGGGATGGGCGGGATACTCTGCCAGGAGGTGGAAGGGGATGAGAAGGTGGTGGCCTACGCGAGTAGGAGCTGCAACTCGGCGGAGGCACAGTACAGCTCGTACACAGGGGAGGGACTGGCGGCAGTATGGGCTGTGGGGCACTTCAGGGTCTACTTGCAGGGGCGGGAGTTCACCCTGGTGACGGACCACCAGCCACTGACATGGCTGATGACTACACCAGGGTTAACAGGCAGGAATGCACGATGGGCAATGAAGCTGCAGGAGAATGACTTCAAAATCAAGCACAGGCCAGGAAAAACCTTGCAGCATGTGAACGGCCTCTCCCGTAACCCCCCACCGCTAGAGCCAACAGTGACCCTTGCGCTGCTGGCCAGACAGGTGGAGCTGAGCGGGGCCAGGAGGAGCAAGGGGCCGGCTGATATCTGGGAGGATGAGCAGGTTGTGAGATGTGTGAAGGGAGAGACAGGAGCAGACGAGGAGATGAGCGAGAGGGTGAGAGCAAGGGGGCACCACTACAGGTGGTACCAGCAGCAGTTGCAGATACAGACCGAGGGTGGGTGGAAGCTGGTGCCGGCCCCAGGTGACAGGGAAGCGGTGATAAAGGAGGTGCACTCAAAGCTGGGGCACTTCGGGCATGAGAGGACAGTGCAGTTGTTGAAGACGGGCTGGTGGTGGGAGGGAATGCGCAGGCAGGTGCAGAAGTGGGTGGAGGGATGTGAGGCCTGCCAAAGGAGCCGAGCAAACCTGACCCAAGCCAAGGCCGAGCTGCAGTCCCTGCCCATCCGCGGGTTAGGCTTCAGATGGTCCTTGGACCTGGCAGGGGAACTGCCGCTGAGTCGGGGGGGGAAACGGTACATAGTGCTCATGGTGGAGCACGTGAGCAAGTGGCTGGAGGTGAGGGCTATCCCCAGCAAGAGCTCAAGACATGTGGCAGCAGCATTCAAGGAGCAAGTAATATGCAGATTTGGGGCGTGTGCAGAGGTGCTCACCGATCAAGGCACAGAGTTTCAAAGGGAGTTCAGGGAGCTGTTAGAGGAAGCGGGAATCACCCACAGGCGCACCTCTCGGTATCACCCACAGAGTGATGGGCTGACCGAGCGCCTAGTGCAGACGTTGAAGCGAGGGCTACGGGCATATGGGGAGAAAAGGAAGCGGGAATGGGACAATGAGCTACACTAGATTGCGGCAGGATATAGGTTTGGGAAGCAGGCAGCCCTGAGAGACCATTCACCCTACAGCCTTCTGTTTGGTTGTGAGCCGGTGCTACCTGTGGGGGCACCACGGGTCCTCACGGACACAGTGACAGCAGGCACCATAGACAACTGGGTGGCCTTGTCAGAGGCCAGAGCAAGGTACCTCCGAGTGATAATGCCAGCAGCGCTAGAAAACCTACACACGGCACAGCTGAGAGACGCCAGACGTTATGAGCAACGCCAGCAGCAGGGGATGTTGGGAAGGAGAGAGAAAAAGGGAGCAAGTGAGGGGCAGGAGGTGTACCTGAAAAGGGCAAAACAGGACACGCTGGACGTCGGGGTGGGGACCGAGAGGTGGAGAGTGAAGGAAGTTCGGCCCTCGGGTATTCTCGTGCTGGAGAACGAAAAGGGGGCACAGCTGAAGGAGCACCAGACCAACACGGCCCTGGTGAGGGGGAGCAAGCCTCAGCAAGCTGGTCCTGTGACACGAGCTCGAGCTACCCAAGCACGGGCACAGGAGGGGCAGTGAGTGACTGAGGTAGGGCAGCACAGAGCAGGGAGTGTTGAAGAAGAACAACAGGAAGAAGAGCAAGTGCTGGTGAGGGTCACACACTCCGACAGCTGTCACCGTATATGCAAGGGATGCATATGCAATAACAGTAGAGTGCGGTGCTGGGAAGTAGTATAGCAAATAGCTAAGAATGCATTGAGGTAGATAGACAAGAAGTAGTGTAGGAGGTGTAGCCAGTAGCGAAGTGTCGGTTGCAAAGGGGTGCAGAAAGGGGGAAATATGTGGGAGCGGTTGGGATGAAGGGGGAAAAGCACCGAAGGGCAAAATTTGGGATTCGAACAAATCCCAACCTCGAGCCGCATTGGAAATGTGCAAGCCGAGGTTGGGTAAGGTCACCCACGCCCACTCACTCGATGCCTATTGTTCAGTATTCTTTCATACTAGTGCAGGGCTGTTATCCTAGCTACTACACGCGGTGGCACAGCACTAAGAAGGAACCGGTGGGGTGAGGGAGTGATCACGTTCATGTGAGTGACTGAAGTAGGGCAGCACAGAGCAGGGAGTGTTGAAGAAGAACAACAGGAAGAAGAGCAAGTGCTGGTGAGGGTCACACACTCCGACAATGTCCACGTCCACGTCCTCGTCCACGTCCACGGCCATGTCCACGTCCACATCCACGTCCACGTCCATGTCCACGTCCACGTCCACGTCCACGTCCACGTCCATGTCCACGTCCACGTCCACGTCCATGTCCACGTCCACGTCCATGTCCACGTCCACGTCCACGTCCATGTCCACATCCAAGTCCTCCACGTCCACGTCCACGTCCATGTCTACGTCCACGTCCACGTCCATGTCCACGTCCACGTCCACGTCCACCTCCATGTCCACGTCGACGTCGATGTCCGCGTCCACATCCACGTCCACGTCCACGTCCACATCCACGTCCACGTCCACGTCCACGTCCACGTCCATGTCCACGTCCATGTCCTCCTCCACGTCCACGTCCACGTCCATGTCCACGTCCACATCCACGTCCATGTCCATGTCCATGTCCACGTCCACGTTCGTGTCCATGTCCACGTCCACGTCCACGTCCATGTCCATGTCCACGTCCACGTCCACGTCCACGTCCACGTCCATGTCCACGTCCACCTCCACATCCACGTCCACGTCCACGTCCACGTCCATGTCCATGTCCACGTCCACGTCCATGTCCACATCCATGTCCTCAACGTCCACGTCCACATCCACGTCCACGTCCATGTCCACGTCCATGTCCACGTCCACGTCCACGTCCATGTCCATGTCCACATCCATGTCCACGTCCACGTCCGGTCCATGTCCACGTCCATGTCCACGTCCATGTCCACGTCCACGTCCATGTCCACGTCCACGTCCACGTCCACGTCTATGTCCACTTCCAAGTCCTCCACGTCCACGTCCACGTCCATGTCCACGTCCACGTCCACGTCCGTGTCCATGTCCACGTCCATGTCCACGTCCAAGTCCACGTCCACGTCGATGTCCGCGTCCAGGTCCACGTCCACGTCCACGTCCACATCCATGTCCACGTCCACGTCCACGTCCACGTCCACGTCCATGTCCACGTCCACGTCCACGTCCACGTCCATGTCCATGTCCACGTCCACGTCCACTTCCGTGTCCATGTCCACGTCCACGTCCACGTCCACGTCCGTGTCCATGTCCACGTCCACGTCCACGTCCACGTCCGTGTCCACGTTCACGTCCACGTCCACGTCCGTGTCCACGTTCACGTCCACGTCCACGTCCACGTCCATGTCCACGTTCACGTCCACGTCCACGTCCACGTCCACGTCCACGTCCACGTCCACGTCCACGTCGACGTCCATGTCCACGTCCATGTCCTCCACGTCCACGTCCACGTCCATGTCCACGTCCACGTCCACGTCCACGTCCATGTCCACGTCCACGTCCACGTCCATGTCCACGTCCATGTCCACGTCCACGTCCATGTCCACGTCCATGTCCATGTCCACGTCCACGTCCACGTCCATGTCCACGTCCATGACCACGTCCACGTCCATATCCATGTCCACGTCCACGTCCACGTCCATGTCCACGTTCATATCCACGTCCATGCCACGTCCATGTCCACGTCCACCTCCACATCCACGTCCATGTCCACGTCCACGTCCATGTCCGCGTCCATGTCCACGTCCACGTCCACGTCCACGTCCATGTCCACATCCAAGTCCTCCACGTCCACGTCCACGTCCATGTCTACGTCCACGTCCACGTCCATGTCCACGTCCACGTCCATGTCCACGTCCATGTCCACGTCCACGTCGATGTCCGCATCCATGTCCACGTCCACGTCCACATCCATGTCCACGTCCACGTCCACGTCCACGTCAACGTCCATGTCCACGTCCATGTCCTCCACGTCCACGTCCACGTCCATGTCCACGTCCACGTCCACGTCCACGTCAACGTCCATGTCCACGTCCACGTCTATGACCACGTCCACGTCCATGTCCACGTCCACGTCCACGTCCACGTCAACGTCCATGTCCACGTCCACGTCCACGTCCATGTCCACGTCCACGTCCACGTCCATGTCAACGTCCATGTCCTCCACGTCCACGTCCACGTCCATGTCCACGTCCACGTCCACGTCCACGTCCACGTCCATGTCCACGTCCACGTCCACGTCCACGTCCAGGTCCACGTCCACGTCCACGTCCATGTCTACGTCCACGTCCACGTCCATGTCCACGTCCACGTCCATGTCCACGTCCATGTCCACGTCCACGTCGATGTCCGCGTCCATGTCCACGTCCACGTCCACATCCATGTCCACGTCCACGTCCACGTCCACGTCCATGTCCACGTCCATGTCCTCCACGTCCACGTCCACGTCCATGTCCAGGTCCACGTCCACGTCCACGTCCATGTCCAGGTCCATGTCCACGTCCACGTCCGTGTCCATGTCCACGTCCACGTCCACGTCCACGTCCATGTCCACGTCCACGTCCACGTCATGTCATGTCCATGTCCACGTCAATGTCCACGTCCATGTCCACGTCCATGTCCTCCACGTCCACGTCCACGTCCATGTCCACGTCCACGTCCACGTCCATGTCCACGTCCACGTCCACGTCCATGTCCATGTCCACGTCCATGTCCACGTCCACGTCCATGTCCACGTCCAGGTCCACGTCCATGTCCACATCCACGTCCACGTCCACGTCCATGTCCACGTCCACGTCCACGTCCACGTCCACGTCGACGTCCATGTCCACATCCAAGTCCTCCACGTCCACGTCCACGTCCATGTCCACGTCCACGTCCACGTCCATGTCCACGTCCACGTCCATGTCCACGTCCATGTCTACGTCCACGTCGATGTCCGCGTCCATGTCCACGTCCACGTCCACGTTCACATCCATGTCCACGTCCACGTCCACGTCCATGTCCACGTCCATGTCCTCCACGTCCACGTCCACGTCCATGTCCACGTCCACGTCTACGTCCATGTCCACGTCCATGTCCACGTCCACGTCCACGTCCTTGTCCACGTCCACGTCCAGGTCCATGTCCACGTCCACGTCCATGTCCACGTCCATGTTCACGTCCACGTCCACGTCAACGTCCACGTCCACGTCCACGTCCATGTCCACGTCCACGTCCACGTCGACGTCCACGTCCATGTCTACGTCCACGTCCATGTCCACGTCCATGTCCACGTCCACGTCCATGTCCACGTCCATGTCCACGTCCACGTCGATATCCGCGTCCATGTCCACGTCCACGTCCACATCCATGTCCACGTCCACGTCCACGTCCACGTCCCCGTCCACGTCCATGTCCACGTCCATGTCCTCCACGTCCACGTCCACGTCCATGTCCACGTCCACGTCCACGTCCACGTCCGTGTCCACGTCCACGTGCACGTCCACGTCCATGTCCACGTCCACGTCCACGTCCACGTCTACGTCCACGTCCACGTCCACGTCCACGTCCACATCCACGTCCACGTTCAGGTCCACGTCCACATCCACGTCCAGGTCCACGTCCACGTCCACGTCCAGGTCCATGTCCACGTCCATGTCCACGTCCACGTCCACGTCCATGTCCACGTCCAAGTCCTCCACGTCCACGTCCACGTCCATGTCCATTCCACGTCCACGTCCACGTCCACGTCCACGTCCACGTGCACGTCCACGTCCACGTGCACGTCCACGTCCATGTCCACGTCCACGTCCACGTCCATGTCCACATCCACATCCACGTCCACGTGCACGTCCATGTCCACGTCCACGTCCACATCCACGTCCACGTCCAAGTCCACGTCCACGTCCACGTCCAAGTCCACGTCCATGTCCACGTCAACGTCCACGTCCACGTCCACGTCCACGTCCATGTCCACGTCCACGTCCATGTCCATGTCCACGTCCATGTCCACGTCCACGTCCATGTCCACGTCCAAGTCCTCCACGTCCATGTCCATGTCCACGTCCACGTCCACGTCCTCTGTCCAAGTCCTCCACGTCCACGTCCATGTCCACGTCCAAGTCCTCCACGTCCATGTCCACGTCGACGTCCACGTCCATGTCCACGACCACGACGTCCACGTCCACGTCCACGTCCAGGTCCACGTCCAGGTCCACGTCACGTCCACGTCCACGTCAACGTCCACGTCCACGTCCACGTCCACGTCCACGTCCAATACCATGTCCACGTCCACGTCCACATCCACGTCTACGTCTACGTCCACGTCCACGTCCACGTCCACATCCACGTCCACGTCCACGTCCACGTCCACGTCCACGTCCATGTCCACGTCCACGTCCACGTCCACGTCCACGACCACGACCATGTTCACGTCCACGTCCACGTCCACGTTCACGTCCACGTGCATGTCCACGTCCACGTCCAGGTCCACGTCCACGTCCACGACCACGACCAGGTCCACGTCCACGTCAACGTCCACGTCCACGTCCACGTGCACGTCCACGTCCACGTCCACGTCCACGTCCACGTCGACGTCCCGTCCATGTCCACATCCATGTCCACGTCCATGTCCACGTCCAAATCCACGTCCACGTCCACGTCCATGTCCACGTCCACGACCATGTCCACGTCCATGTCCACGTCCACGTCCACGTCCACGTCCACGTCCATGTCCACGTCCACGTCCACGTCCACGTCCACGTCCACGACCACGTCCACGTCCATGTCCACGTCCACGTCCGCGTCCACGTCAACGTCCACGTCCACGACCCCGTCCACGTCCACGTCCACATCCTCCACGTCCATGTCCACGTCCACGTCCACGTCCATGTCCACGTCCGCGTCCATGTCCATGTCCACGTCCACGTCCACGTCCATGTCCACGTCCGTGTCCTCCACGTCCACGTCCAACGTCCATGTCCACGTCCACGTCTACGTCCATGTCCACGTCCATGTCCACGTCCACGTCCACGTCCTTGTCCACGTCCACGTCCACGTCCATGTCCACGTCCACGTCCATGTCCACGTCCATGTTCACGTCCCACGTCCACGTCAACGTCCACGTCCACGTCCACGTCCATGTCCACGTCCACGTCCACGTCGACGTCCACGTCCATGTCTACGTCCACGTCCACGTCCACGTCCATGTCCACGTCCACGTCCATGTCCACGTCCATGTCCACGTCCACGTCGATATCCGCGTCCATGTCCACGTCCACGTCCACATCCATGTCCACGTCCACGTCCACGTCCACGTCCCCGTCCACGTCCCATGTCCACGTCCATGTCCTCCACGTCCACGTCCACGTCCATGTCCACGTCCACGTCCACGTCCACGTCCGTGTCCATGTCCACGTCCACGTCCGTGTCCATGTCCACGTCCACGTCCACGTCTACGTCCACGTCCACGTCCACGTCCACGTCCACATCCACGGTCCACGTTCAGGTCCACGTCCACATCCACGTCCAGGTCCACGTCCACGTCCACGTCCAGGTCCATGTCCACGTCCATGTCCACGTCCACGTCCACGTCCATGTCCACGTCCAAGTCCTCCACGTCCACGTCCATGTCCATTCCACGTCCACGTCCACGTCCACGTCCACGTCCACGTGCACGTCCACGTCCACGTGCACGTCCACGTCCATGTCCACGTCCACGTCCACGTCCATGTCCACATCCACATCCACGTCCACGTCCACGTCCATGTCCACGTCCACGTCCACATCCACGTCCACGTCCAAGTCCACGTCCACGTCCACGTCCAAGTCCACGTCCATGTCCACGTCAACGTCCACGTCCACTTCCACGTCCACGTCCATGTCCACGTCCACGTCCATGTCCATGTCCACGTCCATGTCCACGTCCACGTCCATGTCCACGTCCAAGTCCTCCACGTCCACGTCCATGTCCACGTCCACGTCCACGTCCACGTCCACGTCCACGTCCACGTCTCTGTCCAAGTCCTCCACGTCCACGTCCATGTCCACGTCCAAGTCCTCCACGTCCATGTCCACGTCGAGGTCCACGTCCATGTCCACGACCACGACGTCCACGTCCACGTCCACGTCCAGGTCCACGTCCAGGTCCACGTCCACGTCCACGTCCACGTCAACGTCCACGTCCACGTCCACGTCCACGTCCACGTCCAATACCATGTCCACGGTCCACGTCCACATCCACGTCTACGTCTACGTCCACGTCCACGTCCACGTCCACGTCCACGTCCACGTCCACGTCCACGTCCACGTCCACGTCCATGTCCACGTCCACGTCCACGTCCACGTCCACGCCACGACCATGTTCACGTCCACGTCCACGTCCACGTCCACGTCCACGTCCATGTCCACGTCCACGTCCAGGTCCACGTCCACGTCCACGACCACGACCAGGTCCACGTCCACGTCAACGTCCACGTCCACGTCCACGTGCACGTCCACGTCCACGTCCACGTCCACGTCCACGTCCACGTCGACGTCCACGTCCATGTCCACGTCCATGTCCACGTCCATGTCCACGTCCAAATCCACGTCCACGTCCACGTCCATGTCCACGTCCACGACCATGTCCACGTCCATGTCCACGTCCACGTCCACGTCCACGTCCACGTCCATGTCCACGTCCACGTCCACGTCCACGTCCACGACCACGTCCACGTCCACGTCCATGTCCACGTCCACGTCCGCGTCCACGTCAACGTCCACGTCCACGACCACGTCCACGTCCACGTCCACATCCTCCACGTCCATGTCCACGTCCACGTCCACGACCACGTCCACGTCCAGGACCACGACCACGTCCATGTCCACGTCCACGTCCAAGACCACGTCCACGTCCAAGTCCACGTCGTGGACGACCACGTCCACGTCGTCGTCCACGTCCATGTCCGCGTCCATGTCCACGTCCACGTCCATGTCCACGTCCAAGTCCATGTACACGTCCATGTCCACGTCCACGTCCACGTCCATGTCCACGTCCACGTCCACGTCCACGTCCACGTCTACGTCCATGTCCACAGTCTACGTCCACGTCTACGTCCACGTCCACGTCCACGTCCACGTCCACGTCCACGTCTACGTCCACGTCCACGTCCACGTCCACGTCCAAGTCCACGTCCACGTCCACGTCCAAGTCCACGTCCATGTCCACGTCAACGTCCACGTCCACGTCCACGTCCACGTCCATGTCCACGTCCACGTCCATGTCCATGTCCACGTCCATGTCCACGTCCACGTCCATGTCCACGTCCAAGTCCTCCACGTCCACGTCCATGTCCACGTCCACGTCCACGTCCACGTCCACGTCCACGTCCACGTCTCTGTCCAAGTCCTCCACGTCCACGTCCATGTCCACGTCCAAGTCCTCCACGTCCATGTCCACGTCGACGTCCACGTCCATGTCCACGACCACGACGTCCACGTCCACGTCCACGTCCAGGTCCACGTCCAGGTCCACGTCCACGTCCACGTCCACGTCAACGTCCACGTCCACGTCCACGTCCACGTCCAATACCATGTCCACGTCCACGTCCACATCCACGTCTACGTCTACGTCCACGTCCACGTCCACGTCCACATCCACGTCCACGTCCACGTCCACGTCCACGTCCACGTCCATGTCCACGTCCACGTCCACGTCCACGTCCACGACCACGACCATGTTCACGTCCACGTCCACGTCCACGTCCCACGTCCACGTCCATGTCCACGTCCACGTCCAGGTCACGTCCACGTCCACGACCACGACCAGGTCCACGTCCACGTCACCGTCCACGTACACGTCCACGTGCACGTCCACGTCCACGTCCACGTCCACGTCCACGTCGACGTCCACGTCCATGTCCACATCCATGTCCACGTCCATGTCCACGTCCAAATCCACGTCCACGTCCACGTCCACGTCCACGTCCATGTCCACGTCCACGTCCACGTCCACGTCCACGTCCACGTCCACGTCTACGTCCATGTCCACGTCTACGTCCACGTCCACGTCCACGTCACGTCCACGTCCTACGTCTACGTCACGTCCACGTCCACGTCCACCTCCACGTCCACGTCCACCTCCATGTCCACCTCCACGTCCATGTCCACCTCCATGTCCACGTCCACGTCCATGTCCACCTCCATGTCCACGTCCACGTCCAGGTCCACGTCCACGTCCACGTCCACGTCCAGGTCCATGTCCACGTCCACGTCCACGTCCAGGTCCACGTCCACGTCCACGTCCACGTCCACGTCTACGTCCACGTCCACGTCTACGTCCACGTCCACGTCCACGTCCACGTCCACGTCTACGTCCATGTCCACGTCCATGTCCACGTCCATGTCCACGTCCATGTCCACATCCATGTCCACGTCCAGGTCCACGTCCACGTCCATGTCCACGTCCACGTCCACGTCCACGTCCATGTCCACGTCCACGTCCACGTCCACGTCCACGTCCACGTCAACGTCTATGTCCAAGTCCATGTCCCCGTCCACGTCCACGTCCACCTCCATGTCCACCTCCACGTCCATGCCCACGTCCATGTCCACGTCCACGTCCACGTCCACGTCCACGTCCACGTCCACGTCCACGTCCCGTCCACGTCCACGTCCACGTCCACGTCCAGGTCCACGTCCACGTCTACGTCCACGTCCACGTCCACGTCCACGTCCACGTCCACGTCCACGTCCACGTCCACGTCCACGTCCCGTCCACGTCCACGTCCACGTCCACGTCCACGTCCACGTCCCACGTCCACGTCCACCTCCACGTCCACGTCCACCTCCATGTCCACCTCCACGTCTATGTCCACCTCCATGTCCACGTCCACGTCCACGTCCACGTCCACGTCCACGACCATGTCCACGTCCACGTCCACGTCCACGTCCACGTCCATGTCCACGTCCACGTCCACGTCCATGTCCACGTCCAGGTCCACGTCCACGTCCACGTCCACGTCCACGTCCACACGTCCACGTCCATGTCCACGTCCACGTCCACTTCCACGTCCATGTCCACGTCCACGTCCACGTCCATGTCCACGTCCACGTCCACGACCATGTCCACGTCCACGTCCACGTCCACGTCCACGACCATGTCCACGTCCACGTCCACGTCCACGTCCACGTCCACGTCCACGTCCACGTTCACGTCCACGTCCACGTCCACGTCCACGTCCACGTCCACGACCACGACCACGTCCACGTCCACGTCCACGTCCAGGACCACGTCCACGACCACGACCACGTCCACGTCCACATCCACGTCCACGTCCACGTCCACGTCCACGACCACGTCCACGTCCACGTCCACGTCCACGTCCACGTCCATGTCCACGTCCACGTCCACGTCCCATGTCCACGTCTGTTGGTGCAACCCTATGGTTTGCACTCGGCTTGTTGTCCGTGTGCGTGCATGTGTGTGTTGTGTGTATGGAATGGTATGAGGGCATGGGATAATATATATTTCATGCTTATAATTGTGTGTGAATGTTGAGTCATGATGTCGAGTGTATGTGTCGGGTCAATAGCGAGTTATCGCTAGACGCGTGTTACGCGGTCGTTTGTGTCTCGCGCGCGGTTTCTATTTTGTCGTGCGCGGTTTCTATTTTGTCCTGTGTCGAACGTTCGGTGTGTCGCAGGTGTGTGCAGCAGAACCATCAAGAACTCAAGGATGAGTTTGTGATGAAGAGCCCGAGCCTTGGTGTCAAGCCTCAAGTGATTTCAAAGCTCGCCAAAAGGGTACACCTCAAGATATTGAAGATAGTTACATTACTTTGTGTAGTGTAACATTTCACTTGGTGTAGGCCCTAGTGAAGGGTAGTTTCGAGACCCTTCGTGGTTGGGGACAGTGTGGCACTGTTCCACATCACTGTACCTCGGCTCTTGGGGTTTGTAGGAGCTGGGAGTCATTCCCAACTCGTAACTCTTCAGATCTCTTCCTATTTTGTGTTCTAAGACTATAGTGGCTGCCATAGTGCCGTTCGTTCAAACCGACATTGTGTCGTCAATACTTGGTCAAATCGTGCGATCTAAATTGCCTATTGTAGGCGACAATAAGACGCTCCAGATCCAAGTTGAATCAAGTAATTTGAAGCTGTCACCAGAACGCTATGAACGTTTGAAGCCGCTGTGCAGAAATCCGACTGTGCACTCTATCTTTCGTTTTAGGCACATTGGAGCCTACTGTGACTATAACAAGTGGTATCAGAGGCCCTTGGAGCAGTTTCGACAATGGCTGGACCTGAGGAAAGGGGTGGCAGAGGTGCTGGTGGCAGAGGAGAAGCCCAAGCTCAAGGCCAACCCGTGACTCAGCCATGGCGCCCGTGCAACCAAGTGTTGGCCCATCTAGGGATGAGCCTAGAGTGTTTGGCCTTGACAAGTTCAATGGTGACAACTTTGCTGAGTGGTCCTTCAGAATGGAGAACATATTTGACCACTATGACCTGCTGGAGGTGATGGAAGGAACGGAGAAGCGTCCCGAGAACGACCCGGAGAAGAGCCCGTGGGTGCGGAAGAGCGCACAAGGCTACCTCCTACTTGGGCAAGCGTTGGGGAGCAGCCAAATCCGTCACATCAAGCCTTTCCAGCGTGAACCAGAGAAGGGACCAAAAGCATGGGCTGCTCTCAAGGGTGTACCACGCTCCTGCAACAGCGGCGGTAGCTGTGGTGTTGGAACGGCAAATGGCGACGTTACGAATTGAAGAGGATGAAGCGGTTGAAGAAGGGGTGCAGAAATTCTTCGACTTGTTGACGCGGCTTGAGGGAGCTGATTTGAACTATAGTGAGCTCCAAAAGAAGACCAAGTTGCTGGCCCTACTCCGGAGTCATGGTCCTCGCTCATCATCAACCTTATCGCTGACTTGCCCCGCCTCTCGCTTGAAGACGTGAAGCGAGCTATCCTTCAAGAGGATTTCCGCCGCCGTGAGTTGGCGAGTGCGGATGGTGCTGGGCAGCGAGCAATCGGCCGTGGATATGGTCGAGGAAGAGGCAGAGGACGAGGGGGAGGAAGGTTTTGGTGGCAGCAACTTCAGCGGAGGCGCGGGAGTGGCGGTTACGGCAGCGACGAGAGAACTACGGACGTGGTCGCGGCCGATTCGACGGCGAGTGTCACTATTGCCACAAGAGCGGACACATGTGGCGCGACTGCTACAAACTCCCTGATGGTTGGACCCCTGCTCAAGGCCAAGAGGGTAGAGGAGCAGGAGGAGGGAGAGGAAGAGGCCGTGGAGGCCGTGGCGGTCGCGGTGGCGGAGCTGCAAACATGAAGAGCGGAGACAACGACAAGGACCACGAGCGACGATCGATACCCGGGTCTATTCTACTTCGTGTCGACGCAAGTACCGGCTGGTCCAGAGAAGGATGAAGGCTTTGAGGAGCCAGCAGCTGTGGGGAAGGTGACCCTACACCCCCTGGACTATGGGTGATTGATAGTGGCCGCTACCCTATAGCATGACACCTCGCCCGGACTTGCTCACCGAACTCGAGCCGTCACCGGTGAAGCATGTCACATCGGCTTTGGGCAGCGAGCAGAGGTGAAAGGCATGGGGAAGGCCATGTTCAAGGGTGCTGATGGGAAGATGGTGGGCCTCAAGAACGTGCTTTGGGTGCCCAGCCTTGCTGCGAACCTGATTTCCGTGCGGCGGTTGGCAAAGGCCGGCATGGACACTAACTCGAAGGGAGCCAAGACCTACACCGCAAGGCTTGCGATCGGATTCTTGGGACCTTCATGAGGACAGGAGATGTCTACAACGAGATGTGGCAGATCCCATGTGTCCCAATGCCTAAGGAGAGGCAAGTGGCAGCAAGCATCAGCACCAAGGATGGAGTGGTCGGTAGCGACGATGGCGCGAACGGTCGCGCTAGGAGAATGAGCTCAAGAAGAGCAAACCTGGAGGGACCAGCAAGTTCAGTTGAACCTAAGGAGAGTGGTGCAGCACCAAGGAGCAGCAAAAGGGTGAGGAGAATCCCCGGGGCAGCAGCGGAGGAGGACTACGGAGAGAGTATGTGGGGCGATATTGCGAGCGCGGCATTCTCCAATCCAACTTCGGCTACGGGGGAGTGTGATTGGCTCACCCTTGCATCGGCGCATGGGGCATGTGGCCCTGCCTATCTTGCAGCAGCTAGTGAAGAATGAGATGGTTGCTGGCATACGTGTGAAGGGGGAGCCCGATGAGGTGCTTGGCTGCCCGACGCTGCATTCAAGCCAAGTTCACCCGGTTTCCCAGTTCTCTAGTTCGGAGGCAACGGCTAAGGCACCACTTGATGAGGTGGTGATGGACGTGGTGGGCCCCCTGAAGCTTGGAGCTGCTGGAGCTGAGTACTTTTACTCACCATTGTGGACGTCTACACCCGCATGACTTGGGTGTACGTGCTGGCCAAGAAGAGTGACGTGGCTGAAACGTTGAAGGCGGATTGGTTCCCGATGGTGGAGCGGCAACAAGACCGTCTAGTCAAGTCAATCCGCACCGATCGAGGGGGAGAGTTCCTGAGCAGGAGTTTGGGTTGTGGCTGAAGAAGAATGGTATTCGGCACTCCCTCACCATGCCATAGCTCCCCTGCAATGAATGGCATCGCCGAGCGAGCGAACCGCACAATCACGGAGGCGGCACGCGGGTTTGCTCATTGAAGCCGGGCTACCCGACTATTTCTGGCCTGATGCGGTGCGGAGCGCATGTGTGGCCAAGAACAGAGCCTTGACTCATGTGGGAGCAGACAAAGGGTGCCCTATGTGGAGTGGCTAGGAAGGAAGCCAAAGGGGGATATGCTTCGGGTGTTAGGGGTGCATGTGCAATGGCGCTTGTGCCTAAGCATCTTCGGCACAACAAGCTTGGTGCCAAGGCGGTGTGGGCCGTGCACCTTGGGCATGGCTCAAAACAGCAAGGATGGCTTCCTTTGGTGGACCCATTCACCAAGAAGTTCTTGGTGAGCAGGGACTGCAAGTTCATGGAGAACTTCATGTACAAGGATGGAAGGCGGAGAATGAGGCGAAGATAGGCGTGCGGTTTGGGGAGGTGAAGAGTTCCGGTTTGGAGCATGTGGAGCTGCCTTTGGAGCTGAGACAGCGGCAGCACAACCACGAGGCAATCCTCCCTTGTGAATGGGGGGAGAGGAGGCCACTGATGCAGAGGAAGAAGAGGAGAGGTGCAGCAAGTGCGGCGAGCGTGGCACCGTCACTCCCTTCCCGTACCACGAGTGCTCCACTGGAATCGAGCCACACCGCAGCAACGCCAAGGGCCTTCAAGTCGCTGCAGCTGAGGAGGAAGGAAGGGGAAGAGGAGAGTTCAACCCCCTAATAGGCTGACCTATGATGCACTTGGAAAGCAAGGCAAGACAGCCCTGGCCTGGAGCGGCAATGATGGTCGGAGACGACTGAGGGAGAGTGACTACGAGGAGTGTGCCTTCGCGTTCTTCTCTCCGGTGGGAGATGCCGGGAGAACCAGCAACTCTCAAGGAGGCTTTGGAGAGTAGTGATGCTGAGGAGTGGAAGAAGGCCATGGAGAGTGAGCTGAAGAGCATCGAGGAGAATGACACGTTTGAATTGGTGGAGCTACCGGAGGGGCGTTACGGCGATAACGTCCAAGTGGCTCTTCAAAATCAAGTCGGATGCCGACGGCAAGATCGAGCGTTACCAGTCTAGGCTTGTAGCCAAGGGGTACCAGCAGAAGGAGAAGGTGGACTTCAAGGAGCTGTTTGCCCCTGTGGTGAAGCCGACGACGCTGCGAACCCTATTCGCGGGAGCCGCCATCAAAGGATGGGTGGTGAAGCAAATGGACATTGTGACGGCATTTCCTTAACGGCATCCTTGAGGAGGAGATTTTTATGGCGCAGCCAGAGGGGTTTGATGATGGTAGTGGCAGAGTGTGGAAGCTGAAGAAGGCCCTCTATGGGCTGAAGCAGGCCCCTAGGCAATGGTACATGAAGCTGCGCGAAGTGTTGGAGGAGATCGGCTTCACTCCCTCAACGGCCAGATCACTCCTTGTTCATTGCTTGGCGAGGGGGAAAGCAAGAGGAGCTTCATGGTGGTTTATGTGGATGACATTCTCATATTCTCACCCTCCTCTGACCTTGTGAAGGAGGTGATGCTGAAGCTGCATGACAAGTTCAAGTGCAAGGTCCCGTGGTGACGTGAACTTCTACCTTGGGCTCCACATCGAACGAGACGTGGAGAAGCGGAGCATGCGAGTGCACCAACGGAAGTACCTGGAGGCGTTGGCTGCCAACTTCGGCCAGAGTGAAGGTCATGTGGCTACTCCCTTTCCCTCTTGGGTTCAAGTGTGTGAAGGGCCAGAGGAGGAGAGCGTTGGAGAAGAGGAGAGGCGCCGATTTCACTCGTTGGTGGGCAGCCTCATGTATGCGGCGGTAAACACCCGACCGGACGTCGCGTTTGCTACCGGGCAGCTGGCTAGGGTTGTGCAATGCCCTAATGAGGAGCAGGTAGCAGCTGGAATGAGGGTGGCCAAGTACCTTGGCCAAACACCGACCGTTGGGCTGCAATACTCGGCGGCGGCACAAAGGCGCCAAAAGGGCGCGGATGGTGTTGAACCCGGGCGTTTGTTCCTCACCGCCTACTCGGATGCTTCATATGCATCAGAACCAGAGGACATGACAAGTGTGGGAGGCTTCATATGCTGTGTTGGTGGAGGCCCAACTGCTTGGGAGAGCAAGAAGCAGGTTGACCAAGCTTTGAGCTCGGTGGAGTCCGAGTACATGGCACTCTTCCGTGCCGTACGGGAGATTGTGTGGCAGCGGCGTTTGTTGGCTGAATTGGGGGAGGAGCAGCAAGGACCTACCCCACTATATTGTGACAGCCAGGGTGCCATTGCTCTTGCTAAGAACCCTGTGTTGCATGGACTCACGAAGCACATGAGGGTGAAGTGGCATTGGACGAGGAGCATGGTAACCGCGGGTGAAGTTGAGTTGCGCTACGTGAAAACCACGGGGCAGCCGGCTGACATGATGACCAAGAGGCTGGTGGAGCAGCAGCATTGGAAGTGTTGCAAGCTGGCTGGGATGGCTCTGAACTGAGAGAGCAACATATCCGAAGGCCAACAATCCGAGGGGGAGTTTGTTGGTGCAACCCTATGGTTTGCACTCGGCTTGTTGTCCGTGTGCGTGCATGTGTGTGTGTGTGTATGGAATGGTATGAGGGCATGGGATAATATATATTTCATGCTTATAATTGTGTGTGAATGTTGAGTCATGATGTCGAGTGTATGTGTCGGGTCAATAGCGAGTTATCGCTAGACGCGTGTTACGCGGTCGTTTGTGTCTCGCGCGCGGTTTCTATTTTGTCGTGCGCGGTTTCTATTTTGTCCTGTGTCGAACGTTCGGTGTGTCGCAGGTGTGTGCAGCAGAACCATCAAGAACTCAAGGATGAGTTTGTGATGAAGAGCCCGAGCCTTGGTGTCAAGCCTCAAGTGATTTCAAAGCTCGCCAAAAAGGGTACACCTCAAGATATTGAAGATAGTTACATTACTTTGTGTAGTGTAACATTTCACTTGGTGTAGGCCCTAGTGAAGGGTAGTTTCGAGACCCTTCGTGGTTGGGGACAGTGTGGCACTGTTCCACATCACTGTACCTCGGCTCTTGGGGTTTGTAGGAGCTGGGAGTCATTCCCAACTCGTAACTCTTCAGATCTCTTCCTATTTTGTGTTCTAAGACTATAGTGGCTGCCATAGTGCCGTTCGTTCAAACCGACACTGTGTCGTCAATACTTGGTCAAATCGTGCGATCTAAATTGCCTATTGTAGGCGACAATAAGACGCTCCAGATCCAAGTTGAATCAAGTAATTTGAAGCTGTCACCAGAACGCTATGAACGTTTGAAGCCGCTGTGCAGAAATCCGACTGTGCACTCTATCTTTCGTTTTAGGCACATTGGAGCTACTGTGACTATAACAACGTCCACGTCCACGACCATGTCCACGTCCACGTCCACGTCCACGTCCACGTCCATGTCCACGTCCACGTCCACGTCCACGACCATGTCCACGTCCACGTCCACGTCCACGTCCACGACCATGTCCACGTCCACGTCCACGTCCACGTCCACGTCCATGTCCACGTCCACGTCCACGTCCACGTCCATGTCCACGTCCACGTCCACGTCCACGTCCACGTCCACGTCCACGTCCACGTCCACACGTCCACGTCCATGTCCACGTCCACATCTACGTCCATGTCCACGTCCACGTCCACGTCCACGTCCATGTCCACGTCCACGTCCACGACCATGTCCACGTCCACGTCCACGTCCACGTCCACGTCCACGTCCACGTCCACGACCATGTCCACGTCCACGTCCACGTCCACGTCCATGTCCACGTCCAGGTCCACGTCCACGTCCACGTCCACGTCCACGTCCACGTCCACGACCATGTCCACGTCCACGTCCACGTCCACGTCCACGTCCACGTCCACGTCCAGGTCCACGTCCACGTCCACGTCCACGTCCACGTCCACGTCCACGTCCACGTCCACGTCCACGTCCACGTCCACGTCCACGTCCACGTCCACGTCCAACGTCCACGTCCACGACCACGTCCACGTCCACGTCCACGTCCACGTCCACGTCCACGTCCACGTCCACGACCACGTCCACGTCCACGTCCACGTCCACGTCCACGTCCACGTCCACGACCACGTCCACGTCCATGTCCACGTCCACGTCCACGTCCACGTCCACGTCCACGTCCACGTCCACGTCCACGTCCACGTCCACGTCCACGACCACGTCAACGTCCACGACCACGTCCACGTCCACGTCCACGTCCACGTCAACGTCCACGACCACGTCCACGTCCACGTCCACGTCCACGACCACGTCCACGTCCACGTCCACGTCCACGTCCACACGTCCACGTCCATGTCCACGTCCACGTCCACGTCCACGTCCATGTCCACGTCCACGTCCACGTCCACGACCATGTCCACGTCCACGTCCACGTCCACGTCCACGTCCACGACCATGTCCACGTCCGCGTCCATGTCCACATCCGCGTCCACGTCCACGTCCCCGTCCACGTCCACGTCCACGTCCACGTCCACGTCCACGTCCACGTCCACGTCCACGTCCACGTCCACGTCCACACGTCCACGTCCACGTCCACGTCCACGTCCACGTCCACGTCCACGCGTCCACGACCTGGTCCACGTCCACGTCCACGTCCACGTCCACGTCCGCGACCATGTCCACGTCCACGTCCACGTCCACGTCCACGTCCACGACCAGGTCCACGTCCACGTCCAGGTCCACGTCCAGGTCCACGTCCACGTCCACGTCCACGTCCAGGTCCACGTCCACGTCCACGTCCACGTCCACGTCCACGTCCACGTCCACGTCCACGTCCACGTCAACGTCCACGTCCACGACCACGTCCACGTCCACGTCCACGTCCACGTCCACGTCCACGTCCACGTCCACGACCACGTCCACGTCCACGTCCACGTCCACGTCCACGTCCACGTCCACGACCACGTCCACGTCCATGTCCACGTCCACGTCCACGTCCACGTCCACGTCCACGTCCACGTCCACGTCCACGTCCACGTCCACGTCCACGACCACGTCAACGTCCACGACCACGTCCACGTCCACGTCCACGTCCACGTCAACGTCCACGACCACGTCCACGTCCACGTCCACGTCCACGTCCACGACCACGTCCACGTCCACGTCCACGTCCACGTCCACGTCACACGTCCACGTCCATGTCCACGTCCACGTCCACGTCCACGTCCATGTCCACGTCCACGTCCACGTCCACGACCATGTCCACGTCCACGTCCACGTTCACGTCCACGTCCACGACCATGTCCACGTCCGCGTCCATGTCCACGTCCGCGTCCACGTCCACGTCCACGTCCACGTCCACGTCCACGTCCACGTCCACGTCCACGTCCACACGTCCACGTCCACGTCCACGTCCACGTCCACGTCCACGTCCACACGTCCACGTCCAGGTCCACGTCCACGTCCACGTCCACGTCCACGTCCGCGACCATGTCCACGTCCACGTCCACGTCCACGTCCACGTCCACGTCCACGACCATGTCCACGTCCACGTCCACGTCCACGTCCATGTCCACGTCCAGGTCCACGTCCACGTCCAGGTCCACGTCCAGGTCCACGTCCACGTCCACGTCCACGTCCACGTCCACGTCCACACGTCCACGTCCATGTCCAAGTCCACGTCCACGTCCACGTCCATGTCCACGTCCACGTCCATGTCCACGTCCACGTCCACGACCATGTCCACGTCCACGTCCACGTCCACGTCCACGACCATGTCCACGTCCACGTCCACGTCCACGTCCACGTCCAGGTCCACGTCCACGTCCACGTCCACGTCCACGTCCACGACCACGACCACGACCACGTCCACGTCAACGTCCACGTCCACGTCCACGTCCATGTCCACGTCCACGTCCAGGTCCACGTCCACGTCCACGTCCACGTCCACGTCCACGTCCACGTCCACGTCCACACGTCCACGTCCATGTCCACGTCCACGTCCACGTCCACGTCCATGTCCACGTCCACGTCCACGTCCACGTCCATGTCCACGTCCACGTCCACGTCCATGACCATGTCCACGTCCACGTCCACGTCCACGTCCACGTCCACGTCCACGTCCACGACCATGTCCACGTCCACGTCCACGTCCACGTCCACGTCCACGTCCACGTCCACGTCCAGGTCCACGTCCAGGTCCACGTCCACGTCCACGTCCACGTCCACGACCACGTCCACGTCCACGTCCACGTCCACGTCCACGACCACGTCCACAACCACGTCCACGACCACGTCCACGTCCACGTCCACGTCCACGTCCATGTCCACGTCCACGTCCACGTCCATGTCCACGTCCACGTCCACATCCATGTCCACGTCCACGTCCACGTCCACGACCATGTCCACGTCCAAGTCCACGTCCACGTCCACGTCCATGTCCACGTCCACGTCCAAGTTTACGTCCACGTCCACGTCCACGTCCATCTCCACGTCCACGTCCACGTCAACGTCCACGTCCATGTCCACGTCCTACACGTCCATGTCCACGTCCATGTCCACGTCCACGTCCACGTCCACGTCCACGACCAGGTCCACGTCCACGTCCACGACCATGTCCACGTCCACGTCCACGTCCACGTCCACGTCCATGTCCACTTCCACGTCCACGTCCACGTTCACGTCCACGTCCAAGTTACGTCCACGTCCACGTCCACGTCCACGTCCATCTCCACGTCCACGTCCACGTCCACGTCCACGTCCATGTCCACGTCCTCCACGTCCATGTCCACGTCCACGTCCACGTCCACGTCCACGTCCAGGTCCACGTCCACGTCCACGTCCAGGTCCACGTCCACGTCCACGTCCACGTCCACGTCCACGTCCACGTCCACGTCCACGTCCACACGTCCACGTCCATGTCCACGTCCACGTCCACGTCCACGTCCATGTCCACGTCCATGTCCACGTCCACGTCCACGTCCACGACCATGTCCAAGTCCACGTCCACGTCCACGTCCACGTCCACGTCCACGATCATGTCCACGTCCACGTCCACGTCCACGTCCACGTCCACGTCCACGTCCATCTCCACGTCCACGTCCACGTCCACGTCCACGCCCACGTCCACGTCCACGTCCACGACCACGTCCACGACCACGTCCACGTCCACGTCCACGTCCACGTCCACGTCCACGTCCACGTCCACAACCACGTCCACGACCACGTCCACGACCACGTCCACGTCCACGTCCACGTCCACACGTCCACGTCCACATCCACGTCCACGTCCACGTCCACGTCCACGACCACGTCCATGACCACGTCCACGTCCACGTCCAGGTCCACGTCCACGTCCAGTCCACGTCCACGTCCACGTCCACGTCCACGTCCACGTCCACGTCCACGTCCACGTCCACGTCCACGTCCACGTCCATCTCCACGTCCACGTCCACGTCCATGTCCACGTCCACTTCCACGTCCATGTCCACGTCCACGTCCACGTCCACGACCATGTCCAAGTCCACGTCCACGTCCACGTCCACGTCCACGTCCAAGTTTACGTCCACGTCCATGTCCACGTCCACGTCCGTCTCCACGTCCACGTCCACGTCCACGTCCACGTCCACGTCCACGTCCAGGTCCACGTCCACGTCCACGTCCACGTCCACGTCCACACGTCCACGTCCATGTCCACGTCCACGTCCACGTCCACGTCCATGTCCACGTCCACGTCCACGTCCACGTCCATGTCCACGTCCACGTCCACGTCCACGACCATGTCCACGTCCACGTCCATGTCCACGTCCACGTCCACGTCCACGTCCACGTCCACGTCCACGTCCACGACGATGTCCACGTCCACGTCCACGTCCACGTCCACGTCCACGTCCATGTCCACGTCCACGTCCACGTCCACGTCCACGTCCACGTCCACGTCCACGTCCACGTCCACGTCCACGTCCACGTCCACGTCCACGTCCACGTCCACGTCCACGTCCACGTCCACGTCCACGTCCACGTCCACGTCCACGTCCACGTCCACGTCCACGTCCACGTCCACGTCCACGTCCACGTCCACGTCCACGTCCACGTCCACGTCCACGTCCACGTCCACGTCCACGTCCACGTCCACGTCCACGTCCACGTCCACGTCCACGTCCACGTCCACGTCCACGTCCACGTCCACGTCCACGTCCACGTCCACGTCCACGTCCACGTCCACGTCCACGTCCACGTCCACGTCCACGTCCACGTCCACGTCCACGTCCACGTCCACGTCCACGTCCACGTCCACGTCCACGTCCACGTCCACGTCCACGTCCACGTCCACGTCCACGTCCACGTCCACGTCCACGTCCACGTCCACGTCCACGTCCACGTCCATGTCCACGTCCACGTCCACGTCCACGTCCACGTCCACGTCCACGTCCACGTCCACGTCCACGTCCACGTCCACGTCCACGTCCACGTCCACGTCCACGTCCACGTCCACGTCCACGTCCACGTCCACGTCCACGTCCACGTCCACGTCCACGTCCACGTCCACGTCCACGTCCACGTCCACGTCCACGTCCACGTCCACGTCCACGTCCACGTCCACGTCCACGTCCACGTCCACGTCCACGTCCACGTCCACGTCCACGTCCACGTCCACGTCCACGTCCACGTCCACGTCCACGTCCACGTCCACGTCCACGTCCACGTCCATGTCCACGTCCACGTCCACGTCCACGTCCACGTCCACGTCCACGTCCACGTCCACGTCCACGTCCACGTCCACGTCCACGTCCACGTCCACGTCCACGTCCACGTCCACGTCCACGTCCACGTCCACGTCCACGTCCACGTCCACGTCCACGTCCACGTCCACGTCCACGTCCACGTCCACGTCCACGTCCACGTCCACGTCCACGTCCACGTCCACGTCCACGTCCACGTCCACGTCCACGTCCACGTCCACGTCCACGTCCACGTCCACGTCCACGTCCACGTCCACGTCCACGTCCACGTCCACGTCCACGTCCACGTCCACGTCCACGTCCACGTCCACGTCCACGTCCACGTCCACGTCCACGTCCACGTCCACGTCCACGTCCACGTCCACGTCCACGTCCACGTCCACGTCCACGTCCACGTCCACGTCCACGTCCACGTCCACGTCCACGTCCACGTCCACGTCCACGTCCACGTCCACGTCCACGTCCACGTCCACGTCCACGTCCACGTCCACGTCCACGTCCACGTCCACGTCCACGTCCACGTCCACGTCCACGTCCACGTCCACGTCCACGTCCACGTCCACGTCCACGTCCACGTCCACGTCCACGTCCACGTCCACGTCCACGTCCACGTCCACGTCCACGTCCACGTCCACGTCCACGTCCACGTCCACGTCCACGTCCACGTCCACGTCCACGTCCACGTCCACGTCCACGTCCACGTCCACGTCCACGTCCACGTCCACGTCCACGTCCACGTCCACGTCCACGTCCACGTCCACGTCCACGTCCACGTCCACGTCCACGTCCACGTCCACGTCCACGTCCACGTCCACGTCCACGTCCACGTCCACGTCCACGTCCACGTCCACGTCCACGTCCACGTCCACGTCCACGTCCACGTCCACGTCCACGTCCACGTCCACGTCCACGTCCACGTCCACGTCCACGTCCACGTCCACGTCCACGTCCACGTCCACGTCCACGTCCACGTCCACGTCCACGTCCACGTCCACGTCCACGTCCACGTCCACGTCCACGTCCACGTCCACGTCCACGTCCACGTCCACGTCCACGTCCACGTCCACGTCCACGTCCACGTCCACGTCCACGTCCACGTCCACGTCCACGTCCACGTCCACGTCCACGTCCACGTCCACGTCCACGTCCACGTCCACGTCCACGTCCACGTCCACGTCCTCCACGTCCACGTCCACGTCCACGTCCACGTCCACGTCCACGTCCACGTCCACGTCC